AGTATATACATATATATATATATATATATATATATATATACAAAGTGTTCTTGGGAAATTTTAAAAGGTTGCAACTCCTAGTCAATATGATTTATGATTTTTAAGTTTGTGTATTAAAAAAGTAACGAAGATTAAAATTAAAAGTATCAATATCGTTCTACATTTTTCTTCATTTTGTGATTCCAGCATCTCTGTTCAGAACATAAAATTAAGATAATTTAGATAAATAAAAGTACTGGTTTTAATGGGCACGAACAGTCAGTCCATTATACGAAAGAACAACTAGCGGCGCCCGATAAAATTCCGGTCATTGTTCGCTTTGCAATTCTCAATCGTTCTGATGTGGCAACTTCATCTCTAAGTTAGCAACCGCTGTTTTGAATCACTTTGTATGTTAATGACGACCATTGCAGAACACCCTGTATATTGTTTTCCTTACAAAATAAAATTTAATAAAATTTTCAGCTCATAGTTTAGCATTTGCAAGTTAGTTTTTATATAAATATTAGTAAATAATTATGATTTATAACCTGGTTTGGTATTGCATTCAAATACCAAAGAAAATTAAAAAATTTGTTGAATAGAAGATTCATTACTTTTTTCTGATCTTGATTCAAAATAATGTTTCTGGCTTCTTCGGTGAAAACATGAGTTGCATATTGACCACGAAAATCTCTTAACAATCTTGATCCATTGTAAAGATCTATACCATAATAGTACTGAAAATAAAAACCAAACAGAAACTAAATAATGAAATATAATATGGTTCTTAACTACAGGTTTTTTATGCACTGATATATTTTTCTAAAGGAGATTTCTTTTTTAATTCTTAAAGAAGTTATGTTGTTAAAAATTGTCATAATATGTATCGTAATGAAACAGATTTTAGTTGAACAAAAAGTAAGCTGATTTTGTAAGGGAAAGTTGGTGAAACCGGAACATTAAATTTTCTCTTTTTTTCTCCATTGTTCAAATAAAGCATTATTATATGAAAGATAAAATTGACCTTTTTCAAAAGGAAACATTTGATGTAAAAGAAGCTTTTTTACGGTAGATTACTGGAAATCTATTTGGTGCTTTTTTACAGTAGATTAATTATTCTTTAGAAGTATGCTACTACCCGGTTTTGCACCGGTATCCGATAGTGCACATCACTAATACAGAGATTTTAAAATATAACATCCTTCCAACTAGTAGTAAATTAAGTAATTTTAGCAGGTTTAAGTACCATAATCACAAATAAAACATTGTGTCCATCTCTTATTGTTGCGGTACTGTAATCTATCTTCTTGGAATTTTGACTTGGTTTAGCCTATAGCTTAATGTCTTTTGTACTGCCTGATGTTGCCCAATAGCCTAAGTCACAGTTTTATCCTACAGCGTCATTTAACGGAAAAGAAGACATAATATTTTAAGCGTGATGAAAATTATGTTTTAATAATTTTAAATAATAACTAAATGATAAGTTATCAAATGACTAACTTATCGAAAAGAAATCTTTAAAGAATTAAAAACTTCTAATTGAAATCACGGATGCAAAAATAAAAACTTTTTTAAGTTTTTATTTATTTTTTATTTTTTACGTTTTTATAGTAGTTAAGTCAAAAGTGTCGGATGCCGCCTATATCCCCTACCCAATTTATGAAATATTTGCCTAAAATTAAAACTTTATTCATTATTTTCTCAATAACAATGAAGACAATTTTTCGCAAAGTTTTAAACTTAGTATATTATTTAAACTTTAAAATAACTGGTATACCTCAATAATGACTGACCTTTTGAAAAGTCAATTTAAAGAAAAACTGAAAAAGAAGAAACTTGAAATTCCTTTGAGAAACGAGTTTTTTTTCTTCAATTAGTTCTACAGATGGCGCTGTGAAAGCTGGAAGACAATGTTTTCATCTGCAGTAGTGCTCTCTTATGATAAACTTTAAAACTAATTTTGAAACTTAGCATGGGGAATATTCTCTGTTTTTCTAAGCAGAGCACAACAAACTGTACATTTCCCACTCTTCCGGATTTTCCTTCATTGAATATTCAAATCATTAGCCATTTTTGGAACAACTGGGCATCTACATATTTAAATACAATGGGACCGTGTAACATTGTTTAAAACATGTAACTCAAATTTAAGGGCTGTGTAATTCAATTCAATGCCTAAAATATATATCTTAACGTACGTAACTTCTTCTTACGGTAAAGTTATGCATACTTACAGGTATATCATGAAGTCCAGTAATAGTATCTGAAGTATAATCGTAGTAATCTAATATACCGTTATAGTATCCAAAAAAGGAATCAAATCCTCTGTATGTTGGCGTATATTCTTTTGTCATGTATCCAAGATGCCACTAAAATAACGAATACATTTTTAACGCACTGTTCATAATGAACGCAAAAAGCAGATAAATGTTGATGTACGGAGCATAAATTTAAAAAAAAAGGCAATCCTGAATGACCTTTGATTTAATGATCGGATCTTCTCGTACTAGCACTCAATCTCAATAGTTTGAGAAAGATCGAATTTTAAAAATACGACTTTTTCAAAATTCGATTTCTCTCAAATTTTGTATTTTGCCATTAAAAATTGTCTTCTTTAATATAGTGTAAAAATGGTTTATCCTGCAATTTTAAAATTTTTCGGTTATTTTTGAGTAAAATGATAAATATTTACTCAGAGTTATATTTCTTTGTATATTCTTCTACAGAGGAATTATCTTTGTATAAGCGAATTTTATAATCGTGCTCAAAAATTTTTCAATTCACTTGAAAAAATCTCGAGATATGGTGAAATACGCAAAAAGTAAAATTAACATCAAGGGGTTCAAACTTTGGGCCGCTCTCCTGATCAAACTAATGGGGCCATATTTCCCTGACTCCCCGTGTAGTAAATGGTGACTTAAGCATGTTAAAGTCTGTTGAGTTGCAGTCCTCCATGTTCCCATAACAAATCAATACCTCTGAGGGTACTGATCCAGGAGTTTCCTTGTCTTCTGGATTGGTTCAAAATTACAAGGAGTTGAACATTAGTAGTCGTAAACCCAAAATTGGGTCGGCTATTCAACAATGGATAAAATAAAATAAAAAAAGGGCATGTTATTCAGAGTAAGTATCTTTTTGTGCTTGATTTCGTAACTTTATCGTCTGCACTAATTAATGAGCATATTTGAGGTCAATCCCTTGAACTTTTAAGATTAAGTCATGAAACATAATAAGGTCTGAACAATAAATCAAAACTTATTTGGGGTGGTCAGTTTATTCATTTGTGTACTGTACATAAATAATATGTATCCGAGTACACACATTTAAGATTTAGATCAGTTAAGTCTTAATTCTTGGGTCTCAATACTAAGAAAAGTACTGAGAAAGGAAAATACTAAGCAAAAAGCTAAAACTACTTCTCAATCATAAGAAAGCAAAAGACTTTCGTATAAAGCTTAAAAAGTAAGTAAAACTTGTTGGCAAGTCAGTCCATTTTGATTATCAATTAAATAAATAATGTAATTTAATTACTAATTTGAAGAAATGTAAAGACTGATTTTAACTTTTAAGGGTCTTATTTACTTTGTTACGGTTCTTTTAGTTCTTGAACAGCGGGATTAAGCTTATTTTTTTGCTTTAAAATATATTATTTACTGTTCTAGATCCGTATATTCTTTTAACTTAAGGAAATTTATAGCAGTTGAGATCACCTTCTCAAACCACTAAGATTTAGTCCTAAATAGTGAAGATTCGATCATTAGATCAAAAGTTTATTCAAAGTGGTCTGTTGATTTTTTACGCACTATACCGGATTATAGCTTTGCTTAATTTGAATGAGCAATAATTTTTGGGTCGATACAGTTTTTTTTTCTTTCCTTTTTAATTCCAGCTTATCAGGTTTAATCTTAACAGGGGAAAACATTATTATTTGTTGCAAATCCCTGAAACATTTTAACTATTTTCCGATAATCCAATTATATTTTCATTTTAGAAGTCTTGAAACAAGATTTTTGTTGTTCCACAAAAAATTTTGTTATGAATCATTTATGATTATTTCCTCGTTACTTTTTTTTCTAAAATATTTAAAATTATTAAAAATAATTCAGATAAATTTCCTTTGGTTATAAGAGTATGAAACAATTTTATTAATCAATGAAACTAATCTAAATTACGATTTTTTTAACTAAGATATATTTTGATAAAGTTGATAGCTACAAGTCAAAAATTAAATAATAAAACGAGCAGTTAACAGTAATAAAGATAAATGGATGATTTTTTTTAATTAATTGAATTTTTAGAGCAATATAAAAATTCGAATCTTTTTCTAAGCAAAATTTAGGCAATTCTAGACTAATTAATTTTAAGCAATAATGTTTACTTTTTGAAAATCTATAACAAAATTATGTATTGGACAGGTAATAGTATATTCCTTTACACCTAGTTAGTCTATAATTTCGTTTATTATAAATTAATTGCTTTAAAAAAATAATACGCACTTTTCCAATCATGTGAGTGGAATAGCCCAATGATTTCAAATGTTGCGGTAGAGTGATTTCTTTTAGTGGTAGGCCACTTGCCTCTCCTCCTTTTAAGACACCATGTTGGAGACCTAAAAATGTATTTTTTGTTTCCAAAAAGCTTTATTAAAATATAGTGCTTCTTTCTAACATTATAAATTCATCATCATACTTAGTCCTGGTCAAAACACCTGGCCCATTAGTTTGGATTCTACCTTTAACCCCTTCTTTCTAGCTCCCGTGAAAATGGCGGGGTGAGGTTTCGCTCTCTATTTATCGCTCCCGTGATATTGACGGACTTTAGCGTTCAGTAATAACGCGCCAATAAGAATAAAACTATTTCCTTTCTTTTGGCCGGAAAACATTTTATTTCTCATTTTACACACCAGATGGCAGTACCAAGATATTTTTAAGATAATTGTAGATAGTTAGTTTATTTAAAACTAGATGTCAGCACTAATCAAATATGTGATACAAATTCAAAAGCCAATAAAATAGGCACTTTTATGACAGTTTTCTTGAAAATTAACCGATCGTTAAGGAGTTAAGGATCATGATAAAACCAACTCGGAATTTTGAACAGACTAAGCCAGGGATGGGCAAACTTTTTTGGTTGAGGGCCGAAAATCAAGAAAAAAAATTTTGGTGAGCCAAGTAAAAACTTCAAAATTTAAAAAAAAAAAAAAAAAAAGCGATATACAAGTTTTAATTTAAATATTTAGTGAGATGATGGAAATTGCGATTTCATTTTTAAAAGTTGCTTATATTAAGGTTGGAAGCGAGATGTGCTTCTTTTAATGCTAAAGGCTAAATTCTTTTCTGTTAGCCTACTTCTGAAATGATTTTTTCTAAGGTTCATAGTTGAAAACTCTTGTTCACATAGATAAGATTAAGCAAAGATAGCACTGACTTCTGGGCATGAAATATTAAATTTTGGAAACTAGCTTTTTGTAATGATTCGTAAAACTTTGGCATATTTAGAAACAACTGCTTCAGATGANGCCGAAGACTCCCCGTGTAGTAAATGGTGACTGATGCACGTTAAATCTGTCGAGTCTCAAAGTCCTCCATGTTCCCATAACAAATCAATACCTCTGAGGGTACTGATCCAGGAGTTTCCTTGTCTTCTGGATTGGTTCAAAATTACAAGGAGTTGAACATTAGTAGTCGTAAACCCAAAATTGGGTCGGCTATTCAACAATGGATAAAATAAAATAAAAAAAGGGCATGTTATTCAGAGTAAGTATCTTTTTGTGCTTGATTTCGTAACTTTATCGTCTGCACTAATTAATGAGCATATTTGAGGTCAATCCCTTGAACTTTTAAGATTAAGTCATGAAACATAATAAGGTCTGAACAATAAATCAAAACTTATTTGGGGTGGTCAGTTTATTCATTTGTGTACTGTACATAAATAATATGTATCCGAGTACACACATTTAAGATTTAGATCAGTTAAGTCTTAATTCTTGGGTCTCAATACTAAGAAAAGTACTGAGAAAGGAAAATACTAAGCAAAAAGCTAAAACTACTTCTCAATCATAAGAAAGCAAAAGACTTTCGTATAAAGCTTAAAAAGTAAGTAAAACTTGTTGGCAAGTCAGTCCATTTTGATTATCAATTAAATAAATAATGTAATTTAATTATTAATTTGAAGAAATGCAAAGACTGATTTTAACTTTTTAAGGGTCTTAGTTACTTTGTTACGGTTCTTTTAGTTCTTGAACAGCGGGATTAAGCTTATTCTATTGTTTCAAAATAAATAATTTTCTGCTTTAGATCACTATATTCTTTTAACTTTAAGAAATTTATAACAGTTGAGATCACCTTCTCAAACCACTAAGATTTAGTCCTAGATCGTGGAGATCTGGTCATTAGATCAAAGGTTTATTCAAAGTGGTCTTTTGATTTTTTACGCACTATACCGGATTATAGCTTGCGTCATTTGAATAAGCAATAATTTTTAGGTCTATAAAGTTTTTTTTCCTATTTAAATCCAGTTTAGATTAAACATCTTAACAGGGGGAAACCTCATTATTAGCTGTTAACCCTGAAGCATTTTAACTATTTTTTTTCCCGATAACTCAATTATATTTTCGTTTTAAAAGTCTTGAAACAAGAGTTTTGTTCTCCACAAATGATTTTGTTATGAATCTTTCTTTTATGGTTATTTCCTCATCACTTTTTTGGAAAGTATTTAAAATTGCTAAAAAGAATTCATGAAGTCCTCCGGGATTTTTCTTCCAAGGATTTCGTAACAAGATTACAGTTATAACAGCATAACAGTTATAGTAATACTGCTTTTTAGTAACAGTTATAGTAATACAGTTATAGACCCACTGGAAAAAGAAAGTGGGGAAATCCGCGGTTGAGATGGGCTGACTCAGTGGAGTCTGATTTTCTCTGATGAAAAGAATTGGAGATCAAAGATAAATCCGAAGTCATCATGGAGAAATCTTCAGAGGAAGGCATTAGCTCACATTGAGCTGTCTGGCCAACTATGGTGATGATGAAAAAGAATTCATATTAATTTCCTTTGGTTATAAGCGTATGAAGTAATTTTATTAATCAATTAAACTAATCCAAATTACGATTTTTTTTCAAAGATATATTTTAATAAAGTTGACAGCTACAAATAAATTTGAATCTTTTCATAGTCAAAAATTAAATAACAAAACTAACAGTTAACAGTAATCAAAATAAATCGATGATTTTTTTTAATTAATTAAATTTTTAGAGCATGTAAAAATTCAGGGATTCTAGACTAATTAATTTTAAGCAATAATGTTCACTTTTTAAAAATATAACAAAATTATGTATTGGAAAGGTTATAGTATATTTCTTTGCACCTAGTTAGTCTATAATTTCGGTGATTATAAATTAATTGCTTTAAAAAAATAATACGTACCTTTCCAATCATGTGAGTGGAATAGCCCAATGATTTCAAATGTTGCGGTAGAGTGATTTCTTTTAGTGGTAAACCACTTGCCTCTCCTCCTTTTAAGACACCGTGTTGGAGACCTGAAAATTTATTTTTTGTCCCCAAAAAGCTTTATTAAAATATAGTGTTTGTTTTTAACATTATAAATTCATCATCATACTTAGTCCTGGTCAAAATATATGGCCCATTATTTTGGATTCTATCTTTTACCCCTTCCTTCTAGCTCCCGTGAAAATGGCAAGGTGAGGTTTCGCCCTCTATTTCTCGCTCCCGTGATATTGACGAGCTGAAGTGTTCAGTAATAACGCGCCAATAAGAATAAAGCTAATTCCTTTCTTTTGCCCGGAAAACATTTTATTTCTCATTTTACTCACCAAATAGCAGTACCAGGATATTTTTAAGGTAATTGTAGATAGTTAGTTTATTTTAAACTAGATGCCAGCAAAAATCAAATACGTAATACAAATACAAAAGCCAATAAAATAGACACTTTTATAACCGTTTTCCTAAAAATTAACCGATCGTTAAGGGGTTAAGGATCATGATAAAACCGTCTCGGAATTTTGAACAGCGGTCGACGCCTAAGCTAAAAGTTACTTTAAGGAAATATTATTTTGGATATAAGAAAATTTTTGTATTAAAAATTTTGATGAAGTTTTATAATTTAAAAGTATTTCTAAGTGGTTTAAAGGGGTAATCACAAATATGCTAATTAATAACTATTTTAATTTACAGAATCAAAGACTAAACGTACTTTCTCTGAATGATCATACGTTTTTTTTCTCGAAGCATTCGTATTTCTGACCCCAAAAATATAGAAAATAACCACAATTTGAGAAATATGAACTCAAATGCTAGTTTAGAAGAGAGGTTCAAAGTTTACACCTCTTAATATTAATTTTACTTTTTGCGTATTTTACCATATCTCGAAAACAAAATTATGCGAATTTAAACTTTTTTGCTCACAATTATAAAATTTGTTTATCCAAAGATAATTCTAGACAAAACAGAACTTTGAACAAATATTTATCATTTTTTTATTATTTTATTTTATAATAGTTTATACAATTTTGAACTGTAATTATGCAAATTTTCACATGATCTTAAAGAATACAATTTTAAATGGCAAAATACAAAATTTGAGCGATATTGGTTGCTCAGAAATCGAAATAAGATTTTTTTTGGTAGCTAACTCATCCTAAGTTATTCAGGGTGGTTTTATTTTGCACTCAGTACATGATAAAGTAATTTAAGTAGTTGGTTTTTACGCGAACTCTTAATGTAAAAATCGCCCGATGTTAAAAGATTGGATGCTTATTTGGGTGTTCCACTTAGCGTTACATTTTCGTTTGCTAAGCTTCGTACAAGATTTGAAATGAAATTAAAAATGTATAGGAAGTCAAATGGAATAAGACATTTGATAATTAATAACTTGTGAGGGGGTCGATCTTAAACTTGTAAGTAAAAATGTCATACGGCGTTAGAAGCTTGGTATGTTTAAAGAGCCAAAAGTGCTTATGAACTTAACACAGAGGCTTTAAAAATTCTAATTTGTTCGGAAGTTATTGTAATTTTAAATGGTTTTGGCTAATTTTTATACATTCCTTTTTTCTTTGCTGAACAAAATCTATAGGACTTAGAAATTTGAGAATTCGAAGGTATAAAGAAAACAGTACAGGAAGTGTGACCGAATAAAAAAATTTAAGATCAACTATTAGTTTGAGAAATATTAACTATTAAACTTGAAGGGGAAAATACTATGTTTGGCAGATCAATAGCCTGCTTTAATGCAGCTACGGAATTGAAATTCGACGTACTTTAAGGAGCCATTTTTATTTATGAGCTTAAGACGAATTTTTTTCGAAAGTTGCTGCAAATAAGTCCTTTAAGATGATTTTTTTTTTTCAGTTTTTTTTTTTTGCTTCAAATATTGAATAATTATCCATTGTTATAGAAAATATATTTTTCCCAGGTTAGCCCGACAGAAGGAGATTTACCTAATCTAATAGGATATTTTCCAGTGAGAAGAGCTGCTCTAGAGGGTGTACACAAATTTTCTCCATAGTAGTTGTTCAAAAGAATACCATTCATCGCCAAGGCGTCTATGTTAGGAGTCGGAATTTCTGGAGAGCCATGGAAACTCACATCATTCCATCCCTGATAATTTAGGGAGAAAATATATATTTTAACGAAGCTAACGTTATAGTTATACGAGGCTCATCCAGAAAGTAAGTTTCCCTATTTTAAAAAAAAGAATTCACACTTTCAAAAAACATATTTACTGACAACAAGTACAGCAATGTTTCAGCTATTTTCCAACATAGCCACCACCAGAACTGGGACACTTGTCGCATCGTGGGATCAACTTTTGTATCCCTCTGTCGTAGAACTCTTTGCCGCCTTTGAATGGAACCAGCGTATAACAGACGTCTTCAGCTCTTCGTCGTTGCCAAAACGCTCACCGGAGGACAGGAATTTCTTGAGGTGCAAGAAAGCGTGAAAATCGCTGGGAGCAACATCAGGGCTGCAGGGTGGATGATCAAACAACACCTAGCCAAATTCCGTCAAAACAGCTGCTGTGCTTGGAGTCGCATGTGGACGAGCATTTTGATGGAGAAGCACAACACCTGCAGTAAGCGTTCCACGCCTCTTGTTTTGAATGGTACGTCGCAATTTGCGCAGTGTTTCACAGTAACGGTCAGCGTTTACTGTTTCACAACGTGGTTCTATTCACAGGCGGCAGAGTTCTACGACAGAGGGATACAAAAGTTCATCCCACCATACGACAAGTGTCTCAATTCTGGTGGTGGCTATGTTTCAAAATAGCTGAAATATTGCTGTACTTGTAGCCAATAAATATATTCCTGAAAGTGTGAGTTCTTTTTTTAAAAAAAAAAAATAGGGAAACTTACTTTCTGGATGTGCCTCGTATTTTAGAAGCTAAAACAAAATGAAATATTTAAAGAAAAGTTTTATTATCAAGCTAAGGTTTATTCGAGGAAGCTATAAAATAACTCTCCCAAAATGTGGGCTTCACATCCGTTCGAGAAAAAGAAGTAAAAATATGTGTAAAGGTATTATGACGTATATGCCTAAGAATAGTGTTAAGAAAATCCACCTTTCACAGTTTACGGTTACAATAACAAAATTTTACATTGTAAAATTTTAAAAAAAATTCTAATAATTTTTTTCTTTAATCGAAGCGTACGTTAAACCTAACTTTAAACAACTGGGACGAAATGGAACGACATCTTTAACACGGTCAGAGGCGGGCACTGGAAATGATTTAAGAAAGCCAGTTTCAGCATACAAATCACTTTATTTCCTTTCTTCTTTCTCCTTGTCGTCAGGGCACATTCAGTACATAAAGTTGAAATACTGTGATTCAGTACAGCTGAATCGCTGACGCATCGAAGATTTATAAAATACACTTTTCCTCATCCCTGCATGACGCACGCGTTTTATTTTTGTTCGTTTTTTTAATGCTAAAAGTATCATTCCAACTCCATTTTAAATTTTTTCTTATCACGTTGATTACCATGTTTCGATATTTAAAAAAAAAGTAGGTATAAATATTTAAAAGTTTCGAGATTCTGTCACTGTAACTGTGATCGTGAGAGTTAGATAATCGTTTTAACACTATTCTTCAGCGTATATTTTTTCTTACCATTGTCTCTACCATATTGGCAAAATTAAATTACAATTACTGCATATTTAATTATTGTTTGAAAATTGCTCATTCAATACGCTTTCTGAAAAGTTCTATTAACTAATTCAGCTCTGAAAAGTTCTATTAACTAATCGTGTTTGCATAAGTCGATGTTATAGATGTTTAAATACTTAATACTTAGGAAGTAAGTAAAATTAGTCTTCGTAAACTCCCCTTTTTTGACTCGACTTATTACTCTAACTTGATAGGATACTTATATCTACCGAAACTTGATTACATGAAATTAATTAATACATTTATAGCATTTTCTTTTGACATTTGTTCGCCAGTGACCGCGTCAAATAGATATTGATTACATTTACGAAAAATGAAAGGACCATTGACTCTATAGGTTTTTTTTTTACACTGTACAGAAATATACGATTTAAAGTCTGTATAATCTTATAATAACTTTACCATAGCTGCCTTATTTCCATTCCAAAAACAATTGCTAATTTGCCAACCTTCATTTAGGTACATTTTGATTATTGGATTTCTGCTTGCATAGTACAGCTAGGTAATTCTTACCTCACGCTTGTTGTTTTAGTTTATTTCTTGATTTATAATAAAGTGCGCATTGTTAAATTTGGAATAATATTTATTTATGGCAAGGTAATTGCTCCATAACTTATGTTTTTCTTATATTCACTAAAATTTTTATTTGTGCAATTGTATTAATATTACGGTACGTGCACCTTGATATACTTGAGAATTTCAGTACTCAAAAGAAAAAAAACACAATTGCAACTTGAATGAAATGCTAGCTCGAACGATAAACAAGTCAATAAGAAATCAACAAATAGTGCTGTGTTTCCTAAAGTGTGGTACATGTACCCCCAGGGGTACGAGAACAATTTAACAGGGGTACGCGTTCTTATGCGAAATATCTTGCAACAAACGAAAATTTGAAAAATTTTTATTTAAAAACAAAGTTAGCCATGAAATTTTACGATTACGCCTTTTTCTATTGGCTAATTTTGCAGATTTTTCAGTTATTAGTGGTGTCAGCAGCCAGTTGTGATTTTTAACTTTTGTTGAAATTTTTATAGTAAAAAATACATTCATTTTTTATTAGTAGTACACAGATCTATGAAAAATTTAAAAGAGTACACAAAAGTTATAAGTTTGGGAAACACTATAAAAGTGGATAAAAGTAATATAGCCAAGTAGCGAGAGATTTGATTCCGGAAGTTTCACTGAATGGTAGATTACACCACCTTCTATTGTAGAAATTACCATTCAATCACCATTTATGCTTTGGTAGCGTCAGTCCAATTTCTTGCCTTCCCTCTGTTATAAAATCACATTGACTGTATATTATTACTTCTGAATTTATTAAATAAATTTTAATTATTTATTGCCATCATTTGTCTTTTCTTCCTTATCCTCGGCAGGCTTGTTAAATGTTAAATAAAAATATAATTGAAAATATACATTTGAAAACTCACCATCTGGAATAGCTTTTTAATGTGTACGATCGCTGAAATATGTCAAATTTGTACTAGAAAGAACATTTAAAAATCTACTCGAAAAAATTGGGGAACTGTTTAGAATACGAAATTGTGATATTAGTCAATTAGAGTAAATATTTTCTCATTAAGTTCCGCGAGGATCAAAAGATTAGCGACCACTGCCCTAAGCCTCCCTAATTCTTTTGTTGATCTTTCTCATTTTTCAATTCATGAAGCTACTGAATATGGCCAAAAATTACGCAAGGTGCAAAATTCAAAGATCTTTCCAATTGAAACGAAAATAACTTACATTCTCCGTATAGTAATTTTTTTAATGATCGTTAAAAAGTTGATTGTATAGGAATAACCTAACAGGTAATATGCTTTGCCATCGTCTTTTGTTGTTGGTTATTGAAAAACGGTATAGAAATAGCGTAACATATTTTAAATTCTTACAAGCAGCACAGAAAGCATCTCACGCTATTCACTGAAAATTTTCAATATCCATTGAAAAAAACTGCCACTACAGATTGGTAACTAACAAATATTGATTGCCATTTCTTTACAAAAAATAAGAGAGCTAAATAATACAAAAGTAATTTTGAGGTCGACATGTGTAAATGTTTACATCTGAGGTAGAAAATAAGGTTATATTTCGCACCAAAATTAACATCATCAATCAACCTCATTTACACCTCATAAAATAAACTTCAGCTATGATTTTAGATGAAATAGATCTATAATAGATAAATTATCCACAACTCAAATAAACTGATATTGCTTCAATTGTAGAAAAAGTTTTGTAATTACTCAGTCAATGATAAGAAAAAAACTGAGTGAAAAAAAATTTCCAAGTCATCATCATATAATATTAAAAAATTAATGAAAAAAATTAACAATTCACCAACACAGCTTATAAGAAAAAAAATTAGCAAAACATTTTACCAAATCATCAGCATATATTATGATAATGTGTGGTGGTTTATTCAGATTAGTTCCTCCTCCAGGAATTGAAAAAAGTACGCAGAAGGAAAGAATTAAGAGATTCTTCATAGTTCCAGTCTTTCAGATTTATCTGCTATAAGAAAATTTTTATTAACGCTAGAAATGATATAAACTACACTAACTTGCATAACACGTTCATTTGAATGTATGAGCCTAAAATTATAATAAACAAAATCGAAGATGAGTTAAGATAATCCAGCATTGAAATGTGAAGCCATTTCTCACCATATTATTGAAATAATAGGAAAATGGAAAATTATATTGATTCCTAATGATCCTATCATCGTCCTACATATATATATATATATATATATATAAACAGAGTGTTTTTACTTATGTATGTAACTTATTTAAATCCGTAGGTTCAAGAAACATCGGATCAAAATGTATTCTTTAAAATTCCCTCCAACTACTGGTTCTCGCACTTCATGCCAGTGAAGGAGTTTTTCATAGGATTTAATAAACATTTTAGCATGAGTCGCGATGGCTCAGGGGGTAGAGCGTTCGCCTTCCAATGAGGGGAACCGGGTTCGAATCCCAGTTCATACGAATTCCGCATCCGGCTTACACCGATCGCAGTGCAGGCATGAAATACCCTCAGTGGTAGACGGATCATGGGTCAGAATCCCCTTGCCGTGATTCCTGGTCTTCCTCTCCATGTAACGCAAATACGGGTTAGCTCCATCAAAAAGTCCTCCACGAAGGCAAATTTCTCCCAATACTCGATCCAAGAGCTCCCTTGTCTCCTGGATTGAGTTCAAAATTAGAAGGCTGCGGATGTGAACATTAGTAGCCGTAAACCCATGAAATTGGGTCGGCCGTTCAACGACATTTATAAAATATAAAATATTTTAGCATAATATGAGTGATTTGCAAGTTTGCAGTTCTAATCAATAGAAAATATCGCAATATTTTATAAATTATTTATTCTTAATTTCCTATGTTAGATTATCACAAGTAAAATCAACATAAATAATTTCGCGCAGTATAATGATGACGGTCGAATTTTATTTTTAGAAAGTATACGAAGTCTCGTGTTTCTTACGTTGATATTTACTCTTTTAAAGCTTGTTTCTATAAAATTAATTAGGGGAAAGCCAATAGGAATCAATGAGATAAAATTGAAGTTATCTACACGGAGAAAAAAAATTCTGGCAAAATTAAAATGTGATAAGGACATTTCTGGTAAAAGATACCATAATTCTGGTGATTAGAGAAAAATATATAGTATTTAAACCATTCATTAGGTTATTTAACCGTTCACTTTGGCAACTGTTTTCTGAAAATTCTGGTATTCAAAATTATAGATTTTATTTCTTTACATTTAGTAACAAATACAGAACTCAATAGTACATTTGACCGAATAAATAGTTTCGATACTATACTCTAAAGTATCACAATAAAATTACCAAAATCTTAACCTTTAGATGTCTATGTCATTTACCAAATAGAATGGTAATAATCTGTTTGCACTTCTATGGTTCATTTACAAAGCGATTTGTTTAAATGGTTTGTGGGAGTTATATGACTGTTAATTATTTCTTATTCTAACATAATTTATAAATTGTAACAAGGGGTAAAGGGACATGAATGATGGTTTCAAATATTTTGATTAAAGTGTTTTGAAATTACCAAAATTTATCACATTTTAACCAAACAGCACAGTAATAAATACCATATTCTATTGTTATTTTACCAAAAAGTCATCACCAAAGTGCTCCTGTTGAAGCTACGGGGATTTTTAAAACCAGAAACACGGTAAATTTTACCATTTTTTTTTGGTAGTTTTAGCCATCTTTTTTCCTCAGTATAGTAAGCTATAGAAAATATTTAATCTTTTTTTAGTGAGTTGAACTTAAACTCAGATTCTGGTACATCTAATACGATAAAACCGTACCGGAATAGCCAACAAATAATTAAAAAAAAATTAGGATGCATATTAAATGCCATGAATGTGTTGGATGATGATATTAGATTACCTATCTGTATTGGAAAGACGGTAAACAATTTTTGTTTCACAATTCCTATATAATGCACCTTGGTCTAATAATTTCATATTACCGTGCTACTTATAATAGTCATACAAGAAGTATTTAAAGCTCCTTTTAATATTAAGCATTGTCCTGTATCAATAATAGTTTCAAGATTTTTTACAGTCTTCGAAATAAGTACCGATATCAGTTCGTTAGCAAAAAATGATAATAAAAATATTAGTGACGTTACTAATTTATTTCGAGAATTACAATTTACTAATTTTGGCAATTGGTAGAAATCGAATTAAAATAAATATCTAGTATTAAGAGGATTAGTTATAATGTATAAATGTATTTATTTGTGTATATAAACCGTAAAACATTTTCATATTGTTATTGAAGCCAATGATAATACAAATAATAGTTGTAATAGTTTTGGTAATAGATACAAATTGAAATGAAAAAAACAATTTTTATACTAAACGGTTAAATTATTAACGAAAAATACTTATTCATCTAAGAAAACCGTAAAAATTACCTTATTGTTATCGACGCCAATGATGCTTAATAATTTTAATTGTAAGTACTACTGCTCTAATGTGAACTACTTCTTTTCAAAAAATACTAAACATATTAATATTGATGATACCTTGGATAGAAATAAGTTTTACTGCCGACCGAAAGGAATACGTACAGGAAAAAAATTTTGTTTATGGTTATTTTTGACTGCCAGGAGTTAATCTTGAGCAATAGTATTATACCAAAAAATGCTGACTGAATAAAATTAATCTTTATTTTGATGGCATGATATTCCAAAAACATGATTTGTTAAATTTTATAGCATAAATTCATGGGCAGCAAATGATAAAATTAAATGAAATGGATTTGTTTTAACTTAATGCATTGTATCGGTATATATGACTATCAGTTTTATGCAGGATTTCGTAATATTGATTAATACTGATTTACTGATCATTTAAATTTATTTCACCCCGAGTAAGGAACGGGTATTCATCTAGTTTAAAATAAATCTTGATGCCAGTTTAATAAAGCAGATTTTTCAAATTGAAAATAGAAGAAAAATTAATTAGCTAATATACAAGCAGTGGGGAAATATCCGACTACAAAGTATGCAATTTCCATCTGTAATAGTGGTATAATCTGTCTTTATTCAACTATTCACAAATCGTCCAGAAAATTGTTCTTTGGTGATAGAAATTTATTTTTTCCAGGTAATCGAGAAATTCCACCGAACAATTTCCACTGTCAGATACATTATTAATGTTTGTATGCGATTTTTCATGCAAATTTTTTCTTTTTATTTTACGTTTAATACATTGTTATGCAAAAGATAACTATTGATGTTTATTTTTAAAATATTTGAATTTTTCTATTTATTGAGCAATTTAGGGCTTATATGTTTATTGTCCATGTGTTGAAAGTTTATTATGTCAAATTTCCAGGCAGGTTTGGTTTATGTACAAGCATATTGCTTTAGTAGAATACTAAATTATGTTGTTTTTGTATCTGAAAAGGAGATCTAAAAGGAGAACTTTTGGATTTAAAAGGAGAACAATAACACTCTCAGAAATAAAACTCTCACTTTTGAAGATTCAGCTTCAAACCTTGAGCTGTATTTAGTTAATTTTGAGAGACATTTCGTCATAAAATCATGTGATTTGTGACAAAATTCAAACTCTCAAACGTATGACAAAAATAAATCCTCAAATCGGAACCTCATTGCAGTGCATTTTGGGAAATTGTTAACTACAACGAACCTGGAATGAAGACTGGACGATCGAAAATAAAATGACGAAGCAAGTCGGCCGGTCTGTATGGTACTCAAGAGTTGTCTTCGTACCAGGAGGATTCCGAGTTCGAATCAAGCTTCGGGGATGTATATAAATTATCTCTCTGTTCTATTTGTTCTTCGTATGTTGTTTGAATGACAATGATTCACCTATAACATGCCTACGATAAAGTGGTTAATAAGGAAGTTAGATACATAGGGTGCTACAAAGTTTTTTTTTCCTTTCTTTTAAAAGAAGAATGACGAAATATTTCTTTAATTTGACGAAATTTTATTCCTTAAAGAAATGACGACAGTTATTTCATTTTTTTTCTTTTGATAAAAGGTTTGCTTAGAGCATATACCAATAAACGGTTTCGTCAAAAACGAAGAAATTTCGCGAAATTGAAGCATCTATTTTTTACAGTAAACGAGCATCAGAAGGTAAAATACCAACTATTTATTAAAATTCATTTTTAAAAATAACTTACCAAACAAATACCAATCTTTTATATCAAGTATCACTTTTCAGAAAATAAAATTATTTATGTTTACTGAAAAACGAAGAATCCTTCATGAGGTAAGACTTTATTACAGGCTCTCATATGATAGAATAAAATACATCTCAAATTAACGTATGTTATCGACAAATCCCAATAGCTTATCAGATAAGAAATTCACTCTATGAAAAAAAACTAAAATACCTATATTTAATTAAGTTCAGTAAGTATTTCTTGCTATTGCAAACTGCAGATAGAAAAAAAAAACAATTCAAAGAGTTAAAACAAAATTCAGCCTTCAAACACAAAGGAGACAATTGTTTTACAACTCTAGCTTATTTTATTTGCTGTTAAATGATGATAAAATACTATTTACTAAGGATTTCAAACTCGCGATAACAAATAAAAGTAGTATCAAGATTAATAAAAACATATGCCATTCATGAAAATTGTTTTATGGCAGTCAAGTAAAGTACAATTTTTCTCCTATCACTAAAAATGCATCGCTATTTATAAATATACTATATGGCTAGGAGTAAGTTTGTTTGGCACTACTTTTCTGAATGGATTATTTTAGATTAATATGGCACCCCAAATTAATTTTAGTAGCGCCATATTTTGGTCTTATTTATGGGCATAAATTATTTTGTACACTAGTTCTGATAAAGAAAATTTTTTTTAGAAATTTCAATAGTGCGTTACTCCTGCAAAAAATTTTATTCAAAATTTGACCGTGACTTACTTAATTACTTAATTAATTTACTTAATTAATTCAGGTAATATATGCATATTGAAATAAAAGAAACAAACTATGTACTAAAATCCAAAATTAATAGATTAAAAATACTTATACGTTTAGATGAATCGTACAAAATAGCCATACTATTATTGATATAAAAAATCTTTAGTTAACAATATATATTAATAATGTATGTTAATAATATATATCAATAGT